TACACGTGCTTTCACGCCGTGAGTAGGTAATTCCTCAAGTGAATAGATTCTGGAATCAAATGTGGTCACCCCTGAAGTCGAAGCATCAACACACCTGGCATCAACCAATGTCAACGTAGACGCCTCTCTCAAAGTCTCGCTTCACCACTGACAAACGGTCTTATCAGATTTACCTGAGGCGAAGCATGAAGCAGCAATTAAGGGCTACGTGATGGCTGAATACTCACGCGAATGACTGCCGAGACTGTGGACTTGGAACACATACATCACAGCAGAGCTCGACACCGACGAATAGAATGGCTGTCGCCTTTGACGCCTATACACCATTCCACTTCTTACAGCTGAGCAACTCAGTGCCTGAATGAGTATTTTAGATGTGTGCAGGTTCGTGCTTAACGCCTTTGTTTGTGGAACGCTTAACCAGTACGATGCATTCGCGTTTGCGGGTACAAACTGCAGGCGCGGAGATGTGACAACAAGATATTTCCTTCTCTTCAGTAGCAGGACCGTAAACATTTTCATTTGGTGTATGCCTATAATTTCTACTGTTATGTCATGAACATTCAAGATAATATTGCGTGAAATCGATGCAATTCGTTAAAACTTTTAGCTTTTGGTATTGGTAACGAGAGTTATTTGTATCTTGACCATTGCAACTTCGCGAGGTTTGATGGCCTCTGCGTCATGTTAGTAGCTTAACTCCTGTTGAATGCGGAAATATACGTATGTTCTAAGTATTGTGTCCTCTCTCGTTTTTAGGGAAGTTTCGTTGCAACGCAGGCAACCATTTATTGTTTTGGCTTTGATATATGTTATGGTAAACTAATGTGTGCAGCGACCCATTATCTTTAGGAGTATGCCTATATTTCAGAAACCAAAATTTACGTTTTAAAATAAATAAGTGCATATTCGTTCATATTTTCAACTTCCTGGCGTTGCTGTCCAACACATAGAAGCAAATATTATATTAACTACCAGAAATAAAATTTATGGTAAACAAATTTGGGTACATTTAGGAGCGATATGTTTTATTTCTTGGAACACCTTGAAATGCTCGCAAGATTACAATAAGGCTTTACAAGTGGTGTGGCTGGTTCAATTTTTGAATGCCTTTTGGCTAACAACTATGAAAATGGTAAAGACTTGTCGGCTATTACGAAAAGTGTGAGAGGAATTTGCTGAACTTCATATGCTGCGAGCCAGGTCCCCTTCATGATTACTTTTAGGCAAACTGACAATTAATCAATACTTGTTAGAGTATAAAAGACCACGTATTTCTTACTTCTAGCATGTACGTAGAGCAATAAATTATGTAAATTACTGAGAAAGTTAATTTATTGTGTTTTGCTATGGTTCCCTTAGCTCCTTTGATAATATTGCGGGGATGGTGAATATTGTGAACCTCAAACACAATTATTATGCTTTTAACTGCAGTTTTTGTAAAACCTTAATACACCTTAAAAATTTGGTTTTTTAGCAATGGCATTTTTCAAGATTTGTTTCATTTTGAAACCATCAATTTTTAATATCATAAACTTGCTTAAGCGGTACAATATTTGTCTGTTGAAAGCAATTTACATATGACATGTTCTTCCTTTTTAAAAAATGTAAATAAAGTCTGTTTCTATAAAAAATTGATTAGTATCATGGTAAGGGATGTTCATAAGCTCCCAATAAACCTCAGAATCTACAATACTAGTGTATGATATCCTAGAGATTTGTTTTGCATTCTTGTCCTACACGACTTTCTTATTTAGTTCCGTTTTTTACTCTGTAGTTACCATCTCTTTGTCATTTTAATGGGTTTTAGTCATCAGATAATTCTATCCAGCCACGCAATTTCTCCTAGTTGACTAACTGATGTTAGCTCAAGTTCCAGCGTGATTACAACAACGCGTTCTGGGCGAAAGGAACTCGGAAGGGAAGTAAAAGCCGTAGCGTATATGGAATGTTCAGCTTATGCGAACGTATGCCCACTTCTACTCTCTAATCTATCATGGATAAAGTTCTATGCGTTTCACCATCAAGTTACGATTAATAGTTGTTTTGTAATTACAAAATTTTGTACAATGGGCCCTCACTTTAGAAACAAGTTTACTTATTTAAAAAAAATTGTACAAGAGTAACAACACTTTGTTTTCAGATTGGTGTTGATGTATTTTCAATACACGTGACCAGATCATTGCTAATGGAAGAACTAAAAAACACTCTTCAGTGGTGAACCATGAGACTTTTATAGTGATGGTACCAAAATACATATAAATGGGAGTACTATGTGCCCGCATATTTCAACGTCTTTCAATAAGTCAAACATCAAGCGATAGGTGACCACTAAGTGGGCCGTTTGCTCAAGCAAGAACATTTTGGAGCATGTGGAATTTCCATTGACATCGAAAACAATCAGCAAAGAGGGGCAGATAGTTAGATGCCCTATAAATGATGAGGGTAAGGAGGAGGGGAAAAGAACAGCAGCAGAATAATTGGAAAAAAACGTAGGGATGTTGAAAAGCACTGAGATTTGACTACCTTCCCTTCACCGTACACCATTGCCATGAGCTCACCAATCCTCCACACTGGCAATGTAATATTATTTTAGATTAGTCTTCTTTTCGAGAAACTTATCCTCCCCTCTATTCATTCCTCACCAGTCTGGGATAAGCTAACTACCTAAAACCTAAAATGGCATGGCTGAGATGAATAGAACAGCATAAGGAAAAACAAATATTGCTTAATTTTTGAGTAGCATTTGCAACCACCTAAGAGAAAGCTAAATTTAAACTGCCTTAATATGACGTAAATACCTAAATAGTCTTTAACAGTCCGAATTCATTCTGTATATTCTTTCACCAATCTGTCAGTCACTGCTAGGAAGGTATTGACTGAAAGCCTAAGGAATGAAAGTGGTAATCCATTTATTAGGATTCCTCGGTCATTAAAACTACTGCGTGCTAGGAAGAAGGGAGTGTGACTAATTTTTAATATATACTGAATGGACTTCCACACGGGTACTACTCAACATCGACAATGTCTACGTCATCAACACTTGCTCTTGAAACCTGAATTAGGCTGCAGCACTTTGAGCAATGAGTACACCACCGGCTTTGATGTTAATACTGCAAGAAGAAGCAACAGATTGCAACCCTTTACGTGGAGATAATCACTCACACTATAGCTGCACCAACGCTGAAGTAGAAGTATACCTGCCTCCACTCACAAACGGCCTGCAACTTGTCCTCTACCACCGACAGACACTGTCATCTTACAATTAATAACAACTTATAGACTCCGAAGAGACTACTTAAATCACGTTGTGATAGAGCCCGTTCCCTTTAACAAGATGAGACAGCATCGGTTAACCCAAATTCAGAGAATCAAAATCCACCAACTATGTCTGGGTGAATTTTGTGCCACTTTTACTTTGACTCTCCTCAAAAAAACTTTCAGAAAAAAGAACGCAAAAAATATTAAAGTACTTATTTACTTGCATGTCTGCCAGGGGCTACGATTAACAAGAACTGGTTTGTAAACACAAAAGAATGTGAGAAAGAAACATCAAAGAGCTATAGAAAAAGAACTGACAGTAGGTGCTATGCGTCAGTCAACAAGTGTCTATGTAAGGGTAGAGAGAGAAGTGAAGTAAAAAGGCTGGAGAAGACATTGGCCATAAAAAATTGGTCCAGGTTGATAATGCTTGGTAAAAGAGGAATGTGAAGTCGGTGGGTAGGACATCGGTGTGTAGGCGAGATGTGACAATTGAAATACCACCTCTGATTTAAGAGTTAACGTAGCTGGAAATTGGAGCAATGGCGTGCAGCAAAGGCGCCTACAGCTCCACCGACGCGTCTCTCGCCGCTGATTTTGCTCCTCCTACACGCCTCCACAACTACACAATCACCACCATCTACACCGTTTGGCTATCAGCTGTGTCATAGGAGAGTGCTTCCTCACAGCATTGACTTGATACTTACCGCTGTCGGTGACTTCGGGCTGCTCTGTCTAATTTACCTGATCAATTCCTTTCACCCTGTTAACTTGACACATCCTCTTACATCCGCACACCTCTTTTATTCTTTCTGCCAGGCTTCAAATTAACTCCAGTTAGTATTGAGAGCAAAACGACATCCTACAAAAATGGATAGCATAGAAAATTATATAATACGACCGTCACGAAATAGTTGGGAAAAGACTTTGGGAAGAATGGTAATTGTGATCTCGCGTCAAAAATACGTACATTGCAACAGTTGAGGCACAAAAGGTATAACAACAACTCACGAATTGAAACGCATTCTTACCTGGGAACAGAACAGGGTAAAAGCATAGCTCAATTTCAAACGCGGTGTTTTTCAGATATCGGTCGAAGCCTATTAGATACATCGCAAAAAAGAACTAAACTCTTACCTGCTTAGGGTTCTGGATTGTCACTAGCACCAACTAAAGTCAAAAAACCTGAGAATTCTTCTTTCTTTTCACCAGCAAGGGCCTTTCTAACCAAGACTTCGGCGAAAATACAAAGAGCAAAACGCATTAAAAGCTACAAGCGAAATAATAAGAGGCAGCCAATCGGCCTAGAGGCAACGATTTAAACAAAATAAAATGCTAAATGAATATGTGGAAAAAGAGACAAAACTAAGTTGTAGTTTAGTTAGTATAGGAATCATCTAAAATTAAAAGTATAAAATGCTGTGTAGCGTCCCGAGACTCCCTGAAGACGAAAGAAGACACAATACTCGGGCAGATTACATATATTCAGCACGGAGAAGGTGTCTGGGTTATTGGCATAGCCCAAAAGGCCAGCCCACCCAGCGAGGTACAAGGGGGCTAATTCGAAGTACAAAAGTCGCGCCTCACCAGAACCGAGGGATAAACCACTATCGTATTACAGTTGTTTGTTAATTCTAGACAAAGAGGAACAAGAAGTTGACAACATATTTGGGAATATTTGTTTCAAAGTACGTAAAGAGGGCTAATTATGCCGCCTTCTAACACCCTAATGTCAAATTTGGCAAAAGATGGCTGCTTATATTTAGCTCAGGTTGCCGAATGTCAGATTACCTAAAAAAGGCAAAATTATAGGCATTTGTGGCAACCAAAGGAAAACAAACTAAATATAAGGTTTACTAAAACAGATTTGAGCCAATCAGAAGATCAAACAAATTAAAAAGACATATTAATGCCAAAAACTGCAATATAAGTGCAAGAAGTAGGGGAGAATATAAAACTGATCGCATTATGAGTAAATATGCGGGCTCCGCAGAAGAAACCGAAGCAAAAGGAAAACAAACTTGCTTATGAAGGTATACCTAAGCATTCCAGGAGAGGGTAAACTTACCCAAAGTGCGAGCAATATGTCCAGCATCGCGGCAACAGTGAGGTCGGGATACCAAATAAAGGGCATAACTGGCCCCAATGCAGGAGATTTCAAAGTCACAATACGTGATATTAGAATGCGAAGCAGGAAAGGTCAGGTAAACTAATAAAGGGCCTCCCTTCTACTGTAAGTTGCCCTACAACCCAAAAGCCCATCAATTTAGTTTTCTGCGTTGTTAAACTTCGTTCACGTGCTCTCGGACTGTAGGAGCTTCTTCCTGCACATCCTTGTTAACCCAACCCTCTCTCGGGCAATCAACTAATCTTGACGCCCGACCCCTAGGCCTTAGACTCTTCACCCCCGTTGTTGCATTATTCCCATTTGCAGACCTGTTGATATGACCGGCATTTCTTACAGGTCGTCATTGATTTCGATCATCCAAGAGTGAACAGTAAAAATTAAACCTACACTGCTGTATTTCTGTCTTCTGCACCGACGTGTTCGGTAAATTCGCCTTCACTCTTGCTAGGTTGATGATAATTTTATTTGTGCATTTGTTTTGCACAACTAAGTAATTTTGATGGCCGTCCAGAAGAACGAATTGTGCTTCCTCGGTTTAATCAAGCTATAATTCCCTCCCCTTTGATCTCCGGGTGTTCTCTTCTTTTCGGTCGCTTTCGGTTTGGCCGCCAATGCAGCAAAGCATGAGGGTCTTCCCTTCAGGGATTTTTTGCCTCACTTGGCGGGTGATGTGGATGTGCTTCTTGTGCAGAAGTTTTTTTTTTTCTAAGTCTATAAGCAAATCAACAGTAACCAAAAAGGAGCAAAACTCAGTAATATTACTTTTAGAGTTTGTCTTGCCTGTTGTTGTCGCACTTTGAAATCACTCCCGTCTGTGTAATGTTTATGGTCATGGCCAATTAACTATCAGCTGTCGCCGCCACCGCAGCTGGACGGTAAAAACGTGCAACAACGTGAATTGCCGTAGGCACTGCGATTAAAGGGAGTGGGAGGGTGGGGGAGAGAGGGGGGAACACTCTCCAGCTTTGCACACGGCTGTGAGGCTTGTTAACTAATTATTTTATCTCGCCAAAATAAAGACAGACTTCAAAAAGGGAAATGCACACTAATAACACCGCCAAGTGGGGTAAACACTGCGACTAAATTGAGGGACAGGGAGAGGCGGGGGTAAAGCGTGCGAGAGAGAGAGAGAAATGTCAATCAGCTATTAGGCGTCAGATCCACTCCCCACCACTATGACTAAATGGAGAGCGAGGTCAAGACCATAGCTTCATCCGTCTTCGCGAACCTATCCCATTAAACTAAGTCTAGACCGCACACCAGAAATAGCAAATCTTGTTGAGTGAAGTGAAGAAAAGACTTGCTTACATTAACTTGCCCCGTAAGCGCGTGGTTTTAAAGTAGTAGATGGAAGAGTGAAGCAAGCATTAGGTGGGACCGTGTAAAAGTGAAAGTAGACTAGCGGAAGAAAAGGGAGATCGGGCAGGCTAATTACCTCACAGGTAGCAGATTTGGCTATGGAGCAGATGACACTGCCAAGTACTGCTATCGCCTACTTTGGCCGATGTTGCCACCGATGTCGGTCAATTCAATATTTCAATAACAATATCGCAACTAACTCCACCAATTCATCACTTTGTGCACAAGTTAATGCTCAACACTCTAACTTCTACGTCAATGCTGATCGCACCCAACGTAACATGCCGTACCTCCGAGGTGACTATCCACATTCCTCAAATTAAGCGAACCATGCTGACCGTACGAGTTTAGTCGTATGACAACTACATCATTCCGATGGTGGATACAAGAAGTCAATATTTCATTTATATCTGCTGTTGCAATTTCTCTACCTCTGATACCACAATACCACCCACATCTCCAATGACACCATAATTTACAAGAAGATAATGTTGCATCAGCATGCAGTGGTGCATGGACGTGGGCGAAGATGGGGCATTGCATGCAGTTGATGCAAGTGCGTTGAAGTCGACTGATAGGAGCTGCTGTTCGCTGATTGGCAGAAGCAACACCCACGCATCCACTATCGCTATATAAGTTGACAGATATT